TGCTTCTTTGAGGTAATTACCAAATGACCCAAAGAGTGACTTCAGCATAGGAGGGTTAAAGAAACTGTCAGAGAAAAGCGGTGTGAATGATAATTATGGAAAGTAGTTGAAATGCGCAAAGGGGGTATTTTGCAGCAAAGATTTCTTGAAAATTTGGTATAAAAATGTGGATAATGTGGATGTTCACAGTGGCCAAAATCTTTGTTGTCAGTGCGTTTCTTTCATTTTATGATGATAACAGAAATGTGAAGGGGAAATGATCACGTTATGTTGTCATCTTTCATACTCAGCATGTCAAAATGTTTATTGAATACCCGTTTGTGATCCATTGCAGGAAGAGTTCCGAGCCAATTTGCCGAAGTACAAGAAGACAATCGCCCCCTCAGCCTCTTCAGTACCCGTCAGCGCCCCTGCCATGCCTCCTCGGCCCCCGCACATAATGCCTGGCGTGTCCAGTATGCCTCAGCCACCCATCAGACCCCAAGGTAAACGGGCGTAACATTTTTGACATCAATCCTTCCTGCAACCTCTTCACTGCATAGGGCATGTGGCATTGGAAAAAATACTTAGAATAAATAAACCTTCAAAACGATATCCATTGTCAGACTGATTAGACGCACAAAAATACATGTAATGGATGACTTCACACCAATGCTTTAAATAGCGGCTAAATCAGTCGCAAATGCAACCAAAGTTTTGCCAGTGCGATTCTATTTTTACTAGACAGTTGCCATTTGCGACTTAAGACAGCTTAAAAACTACATACAAAATGCCCTTGAACAATTTTGAGTATGCTTAAAAATCAAAAAGCAATGATTACGCACTCAAAATTCGTTTGGAAAGGTAGAAATGGCAGCGCAAGATCGCATCTTGAATTTTAACCACTTTCTGCCGGGGCAGTTATCAATGTTGATGATGCTGGGCTGGGATATTTATCATTTTCTTCTGTTTTCAAAATTCTTCAACAATTCCTGTCTTCATTTACTGGACACTTACAAACACATGAAGGACTGTCTGGTGTCCACTCTAGCCTGACAGACAAAATCTATTGACTTCTGAGTATTTCAGCCAGGCCTGCAGCCTTGTAAAAAGAGCCCAGATTGTGCGGTGTTGTATAACTTTCTTTGTTCACGAACCTGGCTCAGTGCACTGCTGACCTCTTTTTAATAGGGGCCAGAATAGCATACAGCGGTGGTGTGTGGCTCATCGCTGCGGTGGTGGAACGTTTTTGTCCCCGGGGGTAATTTGCTCGCTCTAAATGCCCCAAACCGTGTTATACTGTTTCAAAACAAGGCTGGATTATCTCCACTTTTGAGAGTGAAAAAAATGTCGGTAATGCCCAGCAGCTTGGTCTTTTGTTCTGAGTACGGTCTTTTGTTACAAGGCCCTGTTCTTAGACCCCAACCACGCATATAAAGCATACGTGTCCGGATCCGGAATGCCCTGCCGTGCAAATGTGTCCGGATCACACGTGCATTGGATGGTTCCCGATCTAAACATATGTCATTGTTGCACTGTATATAGACACCGGGGCCATTTTACAAACTACGGCTTGGGCTCCATTTTTTGCTGCAACGTAAATGAAGCCTGAAACCGAGCTCATGCCGGGATTAAAGGGTGCCGCTGTGATTTAGAGTGTCGGAAATTGTGGGATTCATGCAGCAGGGTATCCTGCAACACGCTGAAACTACGGACGTCATGACGTCCGAGGCTGAACCCCCTGGTGAGCGCGGGAACCCTGATTTCGTGGATTGACCTCATTGGCACTCGTGTACATACATACATATAAACGTTGTGTGGTACGTGTGTCGGGCAGGTTGACAATTCAACGGCATGGACGATGTAAACACAGGGTATTCATACTACATGTGTGCACGTGTGTTTATGAATATTCAGAGCATGTGAATACTAAACTTTCACAAAAGTGCTGGTGCCTAGATTTTTCCCCATTAGGGGCCAATGGCTACCAAACAATTTTTTTTCTGTTTAAAGAGTTGCTTGAAAGATTGGTCCTTGGTTGTAAGGTTAAGTTATGCAATGATTTTGTGGCATTCTTTTGTAGGTGGGATGACCATGCCTCCCCAGCCCCCAAACCCACCAATGGGAATGATGCCTACACCTCCTGGTAAGAAGTAGATCACATCTCAAAGTTGCAGCTTTGGCTAGGAATGTAATGCAGTCCTATGGAAACCAAATATGCTAGCGGCTACAACTACTTCGCATAAAACCCTTGTTAATTGTCAGCCCCAGCCAAAACTTTTCGACAGACTTGCGTGCACATTTAATCCTGTGTTTTGAATATTCCAGTGGTTTGGTGCTGTTGATAAGTGTTTGTATTGTTGATATCTAGGCTTCAAAGATGGAAATTTGACCCTTGCTGTGGCACAGGGCCAAACCTGCAGGCTTACTCTCTCTCTTTAGATGAAAATGACTGTTTTGGTTGCAAGCCAACATGCACATGCTGGAAGTCTGTCCAAGTAAAGGCAGGGCAGGTAGCTGGGTTGACTCCCTGTACACTCAGTGAGAGATACGACACATATCAGCGTAGTTTTGTGCGCATTCTGAAGAAAATTGGTAATGTAAACTACATACCACATGCATGCATACCAGTTTACTTTTGCCCATCTTCATTCATGAAGTCAGGTCACCAGCCAGCTGTTTTGAATGTTACATTTATAGCAGACTTTGGTTTTCCATCTATCTTGGCTCTCATTTTGTTTTTTTTCTCTCCACTTCACCAGGTGGCCTGATGCAAGGTATGCCCCCCATGGGCCAAATGCCACAGATGCCCCCTCGCATGGGCGGAATGCCCAACCAGCAGGGAGGGATGTTCGGCGGTCAACCCATGATTCCCGGCATGAGCCCGATGACTTCAGCCGGGCCTCAACACCCCAGCATGCAGCAAGGTCCACGGAGATACTGAGCTCAAAGGTTGGCCCCCTGAAGAAAAAAACACTTCAACACTTAACTGTTTTCAAATGTATATCTCAAAGTCACAGTAAAAAGCATTTTATTATAGCTGAATTAACTTTGTGTACATAGTTGATTACTTGTGGCATTTCCTGAACAATTTTAACTTCTCAAATTTTTTCAACGTGGAATGTTAGTTAAAGAGATGCAACAGCATGCGAAAGGTTTCAGGCTAAAATGGAACCAACATAGTTGGATTCGAAAGTCAGTTTTCATTTGTTATTGAAAGTTTAAAATGTTAGATTTAAGTTTTCCAAGGTCATTGGGGCCATTTCAGCACTATCTCACATTTTCTCAATTTAGTTAGAATAATACATGCTTAAAACTGCCGTTCAGAGGAAAAAATTTGGCCAGTTAAAATTTCACGGAAAATTTAAATTGTGGGAACTACCCAAGACAAGCTCAATAGTAATGTAGCATTTTTTTTAATTTCATGGGTTAGAAAGAAAAACGCAGAACCCTTTTTGCATTTTCACAGGAACTGTTGTGGCTTTCTGTCAGCATTCATGAATAGACTTTACTTCAGTCGCCCATTACGTTTTCAAGGCAAGTCCTCCACATATCTACAGTAATGCTGTCGTAAAGTGTGCATGGACAGGATGGATGAATTATTTGGACGATTTGTCTTCAGTTCAAAACTTTAGGTTGGCGAAAACTGTTGATTCCTTTTATTTTTTCATAAATGTGTACCGTTTAAAAAAAAAGCAACCTTTTTTTTTTATCGTGATTCTTTCAAATTACAGTACCAAACCGTACTCGATACTTCAGCCATAAAAAGAATAGATTTGCAATGTGTGAGCAGGGTTTGATGGGTTGATTGTTGGAGAAAAAGGCTGTGTATTGCTCGGACAACTTGTTGCATGTAACACAAGCTATTGTTCAGATTATGCAATATCCGTTTAAGAAAACTTGGTAAGTACAGGTCCCAGTTGTCAGCGTTCTGTTGTAAGTTTCCCGTTGGTGTATCGTTAAAAAGTTTGGTGCGTACCTGTACATGAGACAATCAATCACATCTCGGCAATGGTAACGCTGAGATCATACCTACCTTTCGCCGTGCCCCTTTCCTTTGTTGTGACTTCTATCAATGGTAGGTCGTATACTCGTGTGTCGGATAACTTTTCAATCTTGGCCCTTTTTTGTCCCAGTTCAAAGTCCACCGTTCAAACTTAAGCTCAAAAGTTCAATGCCAGTTTTGAGCGATTCACAATGTAGGAACACGTTGCTGTATAAGAAGGGAAAGGTCGGCTTTATCTGCAATGCATCGTGGGAACAGTTCATTTGGTTATTGAGAATCAAGTCAAAAGGATTAATCATGACCAGAATGTTGGGTCCCCTCCCTTTTTAAGTTAACGTCCTTTGGAAAGTTGCCGCACGGTAGTTGTTTTACACAAAGCAGGAAGGACTCTACTGTTTGCAATTCATGTTTTGTTGTGCCCATTAACTGGGGCTTTTTTCCATTTATTTCAATTTTTACTTCCTTTGGCTCTCAGACCTTAAATTAGAGTAAAGACTGGTACATGTACTAGACAGCTTCTTCAGGGACGTGTTGATTATCTTTAAGCAAGCATGGATAGTTTTTTACGTGTACGTCTAATATCTCAATGGAAAATTGTACATCGCTGCGCCTCTGAATACAAAAGGTAAAGATGATGCTTGCCCCCGGGCAAAATCGACAAAGTAAGTATCAGAAAAAATGTGAGTACTGCGGCTCAGTTTTAAACACCATGATTGACTTTAAAAAATTGCTCAAATTGCCAAATTCACCCAAAACTGTACAGAGAAGTCATGCTGTGGTGATTTGTTTTTTGTATCACTTATTCCCAAGCTGTCGAAAGAAAATTGAGGTTTTAAACTTCGCACAATTTAAGTTTTGGGTCCGATTTCCCAGTTGTAAATGAAAAATGGCAGATGAGGGTTTTGCTGAATTCAAATTTTGATGTGATGGTTTGATTGTCATTTAGCTCCTGAGTCCAACAATGTAAGTTGTGTGGTAGGTGCGTTATGTTCTCTGTGAGGTGCATGTGCAAAAGATTGCATCGGCATTTTGGAAGCTGTCATGAATCCTGAACACTTCTCTAACAGTCACAGGAGGCGCGATTGAGGTGGGTCTGTATTTCAACACATGTAGTGTGCGTCAAACTGCAAATTGATCTCAATTTTTTGATCTCCTGCGCCAGTACATCGGATTGAGAGGATGCGTACGAGTATGGTTTACCTTTGGTGACGCCTTCAATTGGATCGCCCAACTTGTCATTTAAGACCCGTCCTCTTAGTTCAGCTAATGAAATTACACTTCACCCAAACCTACAAGCAAAAAAGCTGATCATTGGAGTGTGTCAGTGCATTTGAAGACACGCCCTGGGTGTTCCCGTATGACAGCTTTCAAGATGGCACCCAGTGAAAGTCATTGTCAACATGAGTTTTTATGAAAGACGCCAGCTGAGTGATTGTAAAATTTGTCAAGCAACCTCTTTTTCTGGAAAAATTGTTCATTCACATGTATTTTAGCATATGTGTGATTCTCTCCGGAGATGGTTTCCAACGGAAAGACAAGGTAACCTTTGTTAGCAGTTAAGAATGTTAACACACATGTACACTGTGTATGAGCCAAATGCTTTTCAGTCCAGAAAGTATTATGTAGGCAAGGAACCAGACTTTGATCCAGTGTCATAGCAGTCTGATGTTAGTCAGATCCCTCTGTTCTCAAGATTCCAAAGTTTCCAAATTTGAATTGCAGAAGACTACAGACTCATTTTAAGTGTGAATTCTACAAGTATTTGTTGGAAATTCCTTGAGGAAATTGTTTTGCTTCCCTTTGTCTTGAGGGCTAAGGTTTGTAATTGTCCTTTTTAATTTGAATCGTGATTAGATAATAATAAAATTTAGTTTTGGAAGTTGCATTGATGGGTGTGCTTTGAGTTCCTGGTTCTCAGAAAAGGTGAGGAATATGGCCTTCATCGCTTCCCCTGGTTGCCAACAAATTTTCTAATAAAAAAAAAAGAACTGTTTCTTAGTTGTGTGCCTTTTAATGTGACTGGTCATGTTGAATTACTGTATACCTTAATCCAAGCTGTTGTGTCTTAGTGAACTTACTGGATTTTTGATAAAGGTATGTTGTTGAAATTTCTACCGGCTATTATGGCCTCCATGGTGGTCACTTTGGCTGCCATGCTGGCCACAGTCACTGCTACAATGGCCTTTGTGGCTGCCATGCTGATCACTGCAACTGCCATGCTGATCACTGCAACTGCCATGCTGGCCAGTGCGGCCACCATGCTGGCCACTGCAGCCCTATGTTAGTCACTACGGCCTTCATACTGGCCACCGTGACCACCATGCTGGCCACTGTGGCTGCCATGATGGCCACTGTGACCACCATGCTGGCCACTGCGGCCTCCATCCTAAAGAGTTCAGTGACACACACATCCATGGGGAATGCTTTCATGCATGCATGTTTAATTTCTACGCTCAGAGAAATGAAGCTCTCCGGCACGTACACATAAATTAAAATAAATAACTTCAGACATGTCATATCAAGTGTGTAAAATGTAATTGTAGGATGCATGCATGTGCTGTAATCAAAATTCCAACTTCCAGCAAATTCCAACATTTGTAAGACCCTTCACTTTTCTTCATTGTAGCCAGCCCTGCTGCCCTCAGGGGGGATCTTTGGCTCTGACGGCAGGCAAACTCCGTGCAAAAATCATTGAATTTTGTCTCAGGCAAGTCACACGACATTAATTTAAAACTTGCTTGCCAAGAAAATTTCACAGTGACTGCAGAAGTAGATTTTCCTCACTGTCATTTGGACGGGATTTGTAGACTGGCGGGAGAGGAGCATTAAGCACAGTGATGTGGTGTGGAATTTGGGGTACCATACATCGTTCTTGACCAATCAAGAAACTTGTTATAAGATGGTGAGAAGAAATGGGTACTTTTGATAAAATTGTGGACTTCGTTGGCAGTATCATTAAGACTGGTAACATCTGTACAAATGGAAGCACACACCTGGTTTTCAGAAAGATTGAGGAAAATCTTCTCAAGCATTGCTGTTGGACTCTCGTCCCCTATATGCCAAAGGCATATAAGGCGAAATGTGGCGGTTTTTTCATAAGTATAAATCAAAATGAATAAATTAAAATAAGTACCTTTTTTGTGATAATTGGCATGTATAATGTTGGACAGCAAGAATTGCAGTGTGCATGTGGTTGCCCATATGTAAACCCCAAAATAGTTCATTCCAATGCTTGCATGAATATTTATATTACAAAAGACTTCTCATTTGTTTCCAAACCGGCTGGGCCCTTTTAGATTTATTCAACACATGAACTATAGAGCATTAGATACAGAGGTTGACATCTGAGGAGGTTCAACGTGGGACTTCGTTTATGGGATCTTGCTAACAATTTTGCCCATGGTTTCAGCAAATCTGATTTACAGCCTGGAGACTGCCAGTCGATGTTTTAGTGGAGTCCACCTCAAATCTCTTCAAGTCCTTGCAAGTTGATCAGAAGCCGTCCAGTCTCAAGCCAAGTTACAACATCTTGTGAACTGTGACACAAGAACTTGGATGTCTTTGTTCACCTTTGTACTGATGACTGGACTTGTGAAGAGAGTTGTGGTGGACGTGACTACAACATTGTCACCGGTCAGCGTGTTTATGCACAGACCAATCTGCTCTATCACTGGTTCCCCTCTGTCATGTTTAATACTGGTTCCCTTCACTGCCTTCACTGGTTCCCCTGTTCTCGATTGGGGAAAGGAACCGTTGAAAAGGCCCTTGTCCAATCCCAGAGTCCCAAGACCACAATAAATGGATGGTACATTATGGAGGTTGAATCTTGCACTCAAATCTCTTGACAAAAAACTCTTAAAAGGAGCAACTCCCAAATGGTTGGTGAACTCTGAATCATCGTCCTATGTCCTCTTTCTGGCTTTATCCCTAAATGACCTCTCTGCTTTCAAATGTTTCCTCCAGATGTTTAAACTAAAAATGTACTTTGTCCACTTGGTGACAGTATATTCCACCTGATAACAGCTTGTCAACCTCGAATATATCTCCCTCTTTATCTCACCCAATCAAATCAACATCTGAGTGCCTAATTTGCATATTGCTACTTCATAAAACTAAGCCCAGAATCTTCTCTTGTGTCCTGTGTACTTTCTCTCCTGACTCCAGCCCCTCCTGTGTGTGCAGTGTGCTCCCTAGGGGGTCAAAGTTCACAGGTCAAAGGAGCGAAAATGTGTAGGCTGTGTAACCCAGGCAAGTCCTTTCCCCCCAAAAAATGGTTTTTCAGTAGAGTCAAACTTGCCGGTTCAATTTCACAGCATATCTGCTGTTGGACAAATATGTCCCCAATATGCCTGGGTTTTTGCCTCTTGTCTCCTGTTTGTTTCCTTCCCCAAACTCATGGCATATTTGGCGAAAAAAGGCATTTTAAAGTACATGTATGGGGGTTTTTGGGGGGGCGGTATATAAGAATTTTTGCTTTGTTGAGTTTGGGCTTTTTTGGGGGGTTTCTTTCATTTTGGGGAAAGCGTATTTTCTTTTTATGGGGTGTTTACAGATTTTTGTGTCAGCAGCTATTTATGCATTGTTAAGACCTAGAGTAAACCATTTTTGATCTCAAATGTTTATCTTGTTAAAAGTAAATTGTGGAAAGGCTTTGAAATGCACTTCAAATTCTGTGTGCCTTTGTGCATGTGCGGAGTACTTCTGAGCACCAAGATGAAAAGATTTGTATCTTATGAAAGAAAATATACATACAATTTGCCTTATTCGTAGACTGTTTTTTAACCTTTTACTCTCAACCCAGCAGCATTTTTTGTCTTCAATTGCAAGGAAGCTGTGTATTCGAAAGTATGTTATCCATTTAATATGCCTGAACAGTGAGAGGTGTCCCATGTTATGGCATTGAATCCGGAGCAAAACGAGGAAATCAACCAAAAGCTAACAGGTTAGATTTTGTACTCAAAGATGAGTGGACGGACTTGGAATATGATGTCAAGGTATGGGCTTTAACTTTGCTATCATTGACTAAAAAAATGGATTTGCAACATTTGAAATAATCAAGACAACAGGAGTAGAGGTGCTTCTGACGAGAAGAGAAGGCGGCAGTCAACAGAGGCCCTGGACTTGCATGAAATAAACCCGGTTGACGTTCTCTTTGCATCGTTGGATTGGATAACAAAGAAGCCATGCATTTGTACATGAACCTATGTATGTGGGAAGTGAACCAGCTCATGAAGACTCGGATGTATGCTTAGTATATGAGAAATGTTTAAGGCAGAAGAATCATATTCCATAAGCTTATCTTGAGGAGAAAACGCCTTTGGATTTTTTTGGGAAAGGCTGCCAGTTGTCGCAGTCTGTGAAAATGAACATGATTGGTCAGTGCAGGATAAACTGCGCATCCTTATTCTCTGATTGGCCAATACTGGCGCATTACATTCATGATTAAGTTCAAGACACAAGGTGATGTTTGTGGGTTTGCATTAATTTTCTTTTGCTGGAAAGCTTTAAATTCAGTTTGGGTAACTGACTTAACACTGTGTCAAAAGAGGAAGCTTGATTTTGAGTATTTAGTGAGGTGGAAACTGATTGTTTTTCACACCATTCCTCAATAGGTTCCTGCATAGAATGCACTGCTTCTTTCTCTTCCAATCCCATGATGCATTGCAAATGAGTAAAGCTTGCTTACTGACTGTGATGTCCGAGCCCTTTATGTTAAAAAAAGTTTGACCTCACGTTTTCTTCCGTCCAGTGAAAACACATCCAACCTGTTGGTGGATTTGGAAGATATGTAATAGTTTTCTTCAAGGAAAGGGGAGAGTTGAGGGTTGACTGGTGCTAGGAAATGTGTTTTGACCACAACTCCAAAAACTAGCATGAAGCTGAGGATTGTTCATCAGTTGTGCTTCGAGTGATGCCAGTTCTGAAATCACACAGTCACTTGAGATGCCGAAACCTGCAAAGCTGACAGTACTATTTGTAATTGACACCAAATGAAAATCTCTGTAAAGTGAAGTCGGCTTACAATTATTAGTGCTTGCTTTGTATCAACTTTTAGTGAAAGATGAGCGGACATTTCATTAAATTGACATTTTACATTAAATGTGTTGTGAAAGGTTTGTTCCTTTTGATGTCTGATATTTAGCGGAGTCGGGCTCAACCCCAAGAACTCACTTCGAAAGCATCAACCTTGATTTCAGTTAAAATTTGCCCTTCGCTTATTAAATTCCTTCAAACTAGCAAAGCAATTGTACCAACAGCTTACTTCAGAAGGGATGAAAAAGTGATTACTGCCAAATTTATGTCAAAACCCTGAGCTAAATTTAAAAAAACTTAAACTAGTGCATCAAACATTCGGATGTGAAGTTAAAGTTAACTTATCACTATCAGCAAATAGCGGTTCTTCAACAGATGTTGCTAGAGGGCGGCATTCATGATTTTTAAATTAATGCACTTTTAGAAAGAGGACGCTATCACTCATAATCAGTGGGAAAGGTGTAAAAAAGAGGGCGCTGTTGCTCATTTTGTTGAGGTTTACAGTATATGGAGAGGGCGCTATACTTACGAAAAAGCTAAACTTATCCAACACTAAACTAGAGAGGGCGCAATTGCCTTTATTTCTTTTTGAAACCTCGAATTCACTTGGGATCGATGAAGTCAGAATGGGAGCTCCATCGGAAACAAAACCTCAATTTGAGAAATGGCTCTATTCAAGACAAGCCTAGAGGGCGCTGTAAGTTTTCTCTCTCCAATGGTTATTTTGACAGAGGGCGCCCTGTAGTCATTACTCTCAAATTTTTCAATAGAGGGCGCTTTGTATTGAATCAGTAGAGGGCGCTGTTCCTTTTTTCACAAGAGGGCGCTGTTTATCGAAAGTGTACGTGCTACCTTGGTACGTGCATATGCATTGTGGAAGAGTTCGTTCAATTTTGCTTCAAAAAAACTGCTTATTCCTGGAATTGTTTGTGGGGTTAGACAGCCTTTTGTGTGAGTGGAGAGGTAGCCAAATGATGGTAAGAAAGATGTACAAATGGATTGTTAAAAATTCATTTTCTGCTTAACCACTTCGTGCCGGGGCATTTTTCAATGTTGATGATGCTGGGCCGGCATGACTATCATTTTTTCCGTTTTCAAAGTCCTTCAAAAATTCGCCATTTCATTTAACGGTCGTTTATAGCCGCACGAAGTAATCTTCAGGCACTACTCTAAGTTGATAGGTGACCTTCATTGACGCCCGAGTATTTCAGCCAGGCCTGCAGCCTTGAAAACAGAGCCCAGATTGTGCGGTGTTATATAACTGTAAAAGTTTTGTTCACGGACCTGGTTCAGTGCACTGCTGACCTCTTTTCAATAGGGGCCAGATTAACGTGCAGCGGTGCTGTGTGGCTCATTGCTGCGGTAGTGGAGCGCTTTTGTCCCCGGTGGTAATCCGCTCGCTCTCAATGCCCCAAACCCTGGTATAGGGTTTCAAAACAAGGCTTGATTATCACCACGTTTGAGAGTGAAAAATGCCAGTAATGCCCAGCAGCCTGGTCTTTTGTTCAAAGTATGGTCTTTTGTTACATGGCCCTGTTTCTTTTGTCGGAGTTCGGAGACCCCGGCCACCCATATAAACCATACGTCTCCGATCCCGGAGTCCCCGGCAGGAAGTGGTTAAAAAGTAAGCAGGCCTGACTGAGCCCCTAGTGTGGCCGGACCCTCGTTCCTGCTCCATCCATGGAGGTAGAAATAGATTTTAGCCACACATCCGTAAACGCAATTTGTTGTCGGCGTGGTCAATTCTTCGGCACACCCTCTTATAATCGTTGGCACAAATTTCTTTGCATACACAAAAGTTTTTTAGTCTCTCCGCTTTATGACACATTATTTGAATGATTTCACTCACGTTCTGGTATTTTCCAGTCTTTTTGCCTTTACCCATTCAATCTCACGGTCACTCTTGCATGCCATATTTTAATTAAAATGAGTCTATTGAACTTTACGTCACTTGATCCCAGCCTGCAGACGGCTGTTCCATGTCAAGAACTCACCTGCACATAGAGTTCAGTCCACCAGACAGCAGCTGTATATTAGATATGTCTTGACATGGAACAGCCATCTGCGAGCCGCGGTCAAGTGACACAAAGTTCAACAGAACAGAAAATAACATAAATGACATATCTGTGGTAAGGACACCAGTGAAGAAAACAACCAGCAATGGCCCATCTTGGTTACTCTGTATTAGTAAGCAGTAGTACTTAATAAAAAGAAATTGTCTTTGTGTCTTTTTTTTGGATTGCCAAGAATTTGTAGGGTGCCCTACAAAGATAATTTCAGACAAAATGAAAAGTTTCTGTTTTTTTTTTCCACACACTGAATGAACTACCCAAGCTGTATGAAGAAAAAGGTTCAATAGGGCAGCCCACAAAGGACAGGACCCAGGAACTTATAAAGTCTTGGGAGGTCACAGCAAGGGTTTATGGTGTCTCACTTGTTCGCGTAGTTCTAGTAAAACCTTTTGAGTCAGTTTGTTTCCTCTGCCCAGAAGGCTAAATTTCATGAATGTGCAAACCATTACCTGAGGCTGATTGTGTTTCACAGTTCCATTAAACCTCTCTCCCAACACAAGGTGACACATGCAGAGTCACATGCAAATGCCTCCGACTGCATCGTTAGACGCGGTTCAAGTATTCACTGATTGGGAAGCCAATTAAGGGTCAATTTTCTGCACTGCGCTGGAAGTGAAATTTTAGAGAAATGTGCCCACATTTCAAAATGTTTCACCCTATCAATTTCATCAGTTTTTTATTTCTTTTGCACAGGATTGAGGTCGATGATCGCCATTTGATGTCATAACGAAGGAATGTTTTGGCTCCATTGGCAAGAAGGGGTCACATGACAAGGTGTTCAAAAGGTAATTCCCCATAAATGTTGGCGTGTAACTTGTAACTTTTCAATCATTGGTGCACCAAAAGGGTACCCTTGGGGGGTTGAACCCCGTCCCCAAAGGTATTCATAACTTTTTTTCCTGAAACATGAAGATACAGCACACACCGACATGTTCAACCATGAGCTCTGATATAGCCGTCCATCCCAGTCACCTGTCTTTTCAAAGTGATTTTTTTTCGGACGCAAACTGGAAAAAGGCAATGTGTTTTCTCATGTAGTAATTTCCCAAATGATTATAGGTTTCAGCATCTGACATATCAACAAACTGGCGAGACTGATTGAATTTGAGTTTTAAGGTTTGTGTCGAAGAACATTCAATGGCCAGGTTCTTATTCTCACAATCACGTTCTGAGGCAAATGTTTCAGGTTGGGATCTGACAATGGAGTAGGTTTATGGACCTCATTAGAGAAATTTTCAATATACCACAATGCACGGGGCACTCAAAGAAGTTTTGTTTTTTAATTATTTATTTCATTCACTTCAAAACTTGAATTCATGTATAAATCTTGAAGTTTATAGGTCCTATAAGTGACAATAGCAAAACCTATAAAGTGCAGTAGACACAGAAAAATCCACTTAAACACTCACTACAGACCACCTGTTGTTTTCAGCTTCAAAGAAATTCCACAGAAAAACTTACTAGAAGGTAGTGATTTTAAACATTTGTAGAATTTGCTCAAATCAAATCCTGCAGATAATTATATCCTAGCGTAGATATAATCTTTTGAAAAAGGTCACTTCTTAGTGTTGCAGCGGACATATTGTTGCAAATGTTAAGATACAAAATAGTTTCCAGCCAGTTTCTGAATGCATTCAAAAGACCGCAAATTATTGGAGTTCTTAAACTTAATATTGTTGCATATTCTGTCTTCAATGGAGAATATGTAACAATCCTTTGATTGGGTCCGTCTGTCATTGAACAGGCTGATTGTGCCTACTAAGTCACATGACCTATAGACGTTTTTCACCCACGTCACTGGATTGCCCTTGATGTAAACAATACCCCCACGTGTGGACCGCCTTGGCCACAGTGACCGCATACATTCCTACGGGCAGCTTCACTTACATACAAACGCACGTGCGAATGCTGCATGCTTGATTAGTTTATCTTGAATAAGTAGAATACCATCACAACACTATCCACTGATTACCATCACAACACATAGCGGTCCAGCACAATTGTGACATCATAGGAAAAGGTCTATAGTGGGTTTAAATGTCAATGACCGTGGTGTCCTCCCAGAGCAATGTGTGGTTTGAGTTTTGTTTACCAAAAATGAAGCCAATTTTCGGTATAGCACTCAACACATCCGTGGGCTGAGAACGTTACTGACCGTCAGTTTTATTGTGGTAAATGGCATTTATGACACACTTTGCTATGGGGGACACCCATGTTTGTTGATGTTTGATATCTACTATAGGCAGTGTTCTAGCTACGACCATTTTAGTGCCGGGTAAATTTTGGATTACAAAGCATAGTGAGTGCAGTTTTTAATGCTTTCTGATGCTTGAAATACGATCCAATCGGTACATTTACATTTTCAGTAATATTTCAGTTCATTTTTTGGAAAATCCGTGCTGGGTGGCACAGCCAATTTTAACCCTGATTGCCGGGCAGAAATTTGCAGTACTGGATTGTGCCCGGCGCCGCCCACCGCGGCTAGAACCCTGACTATAGGTCATGTGATGTACTGGGCGAAATCGGTCTACATGTATTACATAGTTTCAAACTGCTTCTGCATTTATGACAGTTCACAATTAACATGTCGTCATTCGGTTTCCATCATCAGGTAGTGGTGTTGCTGGTGGGTTGATGTCACGGTTGTCGTCTTTCAAATATGCATGATGTCACCCACATCGGTTGGTCACAGCTGGCTGAAGGCAAGAGTCGATCGCACAGATGTCCAGAAGGGTCAGGGAAGAACTCAAACTGGAACCCACCTTGAATGGAGAAAAAAAAGAAAACAGTTTCTCATTCACTAAAAACTGCGATCTCTGTAAACCAACTGTGATTTCATAAAGAGCTTTGAACACTCAACATATGCAGCTGTAGCTTACAGTCTTTGAAATTTGGGGAGTTGTATTTCTTGGATAGGTAAGATACCTCATATGTTTTAGATGATCATGAGCCAGTTTTTTTCATTGGTAATTCACCAACACCAGGATCATCCATATGTACGTGTAGGCCTATGCAGTGTTGACTGTACACTTGATCTTAACTGCCACATGCTGGATAGGCAAGTAGGAAAAAGGATCGCGACACACTTTAAATTTGCTAGTGGGTGTTTGCCCGAATTTAGAGATGCCTTGCATAATATAAGTAATACTAATTAAATGTAGCATTTATTTTTGGTTGATATTTAACATTTAATTTTGGTCTTCTCCGTATTGGAAGTCGGTAAACAAGTTCCTGAAGGAAGGCATTGTCAACTTGCAATACCTAGGGAAGTTGATACATGTACTGACAAAATGATGTGAATTTGTAGGACACGACACTTGAATCCATAGTAATGTTTTTTGATCAGTGTGTTTGAATTAAAGAAATAAAACGAGGAACAACAATCGCGTTGACGTCCAGTGTTTTCTTACTTCAGATATACATTTTGTCTCCCCTTCCACCTCCTTTAAAAGAGATTACTGCATCCTGACGCCACATTTTCCTCATATTTTATTTCAGAAGGGTTATTAATGCTAAAGACCTGTACGCAGCTTTAACTGAAAAGTATTCCCAATTGTGTATGAAATAATTTGAAAATGTTGGCACTCCATATGGACTGTGTACAAAAACGAGGACGTGGCGGGGTGCAACATTCTGCTCGAAAGCATTAAAATGGCGACTGCAGTGTACTGCAAACAATTTCATACAAATGGCAGCAAATGCACCCTTGAGACCATCAATATAATTAAACCAAGATGGCAAATAGAGGAGAGAGTTCCATACTGACGTCACTTGAAACCCAGTGCACAAACTCGATGAGACTGGTCTGAAAAATTCTACGTTTTCTAAGTAAAGGACTTGGTGTTTTCCCTCCTAAATTGAACTTTTCTGGACATGCTTTTCTTTCTGATGGCGTACAGGTCACTGTAAGGAATAATCACTGACGCCCGTATATGGAACTCTTCCCCAAATAGGTGGACATGGGTTTGCAAATAGAATTCGAATTGGACTGTTGATAATGTCTTTACATTGTCAACAGTCCAATTCAAATTCTATATGCAAAACTGAGCAAACATCCAAACTGAGCCTTAAGTCTGAGGAACTGAGCTCCAAAAAAAGAGTTGGATCAAATTTCACTTAATTTTGGCTTACCTTCACCTCGACGACTGTTAGAGTGCAGCTGCCAGAGCGCCTGACTGTTAACACGATGTTCCTTGTCTGGAGACCAGTCCACAAATGACCGGAAATCATTCTGTAACCTAAACAGACCACGTGACAGGTAACGGGAACCAATAATAAGAGAGGAGGGAAGGGGTGTGGCGTGGCAAGGAATGGGGGGAGGGCAGAAAGGAAACGCGCTGCACAATTCCCTTTCGAGTACTGGCCACTTAGAGGCGAATACAAGACGTTTTTAGGTTGTGCCCCAATTGCGCACACGTTAACTGAATGGGTCAAACGGCTGCAAGGAAGACCAATTCTTTTATTGGATTCCTTTGTTCCGCCTTGCACGAACAATAAAATGTTTCGAGGCTTACAGCGGATTAAACGCCGCTATCTTTCGTTACGCTTGAGTGAACAACAATGGGGAGAATTGAAGCAGAAAATCTCGAAAAACTCGCCTTTAAAAGCATTTCAGCCAACAAAATGATGCTTTTTACAGAGGAAATTACATAATAAACCAGACTATAGTTTCGAAATTCGAAAATTCCCACGGAATAAAAAGTTAGCTTTTTTTGACTGGTGGGTTCCACTGTAAAACTTTCCACCCGCGAACGTAGGTGGCGCTGTTTTCTTCTCGGCAAACGTTACGGTACCGCAAAGCGGTCGGTACGGGTTGTGCGTGTACTGTGGGTGCACGATCTTCAGCACAGAACGCAAACCGTTTCCTACATGAAACAGCGCCACCTACGTTCGCGGGTGGAAAGTTTTACAGTGG